TTTAAGACAGAAGGAAACATGACATGACTTGAAAGCAACTTTATCATCCTCCCATTATTTCAAAAGCGACTCCCTCACCGATCGGGCAGATTCTCCCTTGGCACCACATCTGAAGAAACCATGCTTAAAAAAAAGAAAGAAGAAAAGAGCACATGTGCATCTAAATGATCAGCGCCATGAAGATCTCAATCTATGATTTGACACGACATCCACCACAGGTCAAGTGAATCCAATTGGCCATGTTCACGCCCGAGCAGATAAAGTGAAATGGTGTAAGACCTTGGTCTTAGAGGGTTAAAGAGATTATAAAAACACAGGTGGCAAAAAAAGGCTGCAAATAACTTGCTTCTGTCAGAATGTTTCAAAAGAGCCTTCTTGCTTATATTCCAAAGCTATCACATCCCTTGAAGACAAAAAAAAAAAAACATTCAAGAGGAAGTTCATGTTGCATCTTTACAAAATTGCAGTCAGTGTTCATCCCTAAAAAGCAATCAAACACTATTTAAAAAGTCCCTCATCACAAATGTTTTTTTTAAACATGAACCGTCACCCAAGTATAAAATGGATTTCTAAAAAGTTAAAACACAGCACAGAGAAAAGTAGCACTTCGAAAGCAACATACGCAGACAAAGCTAGCTAGCAGCTAGCACAAGAAGCTAACAAAGCAATTTGCTTTCATACGCTGATTCAGTGCTTTTTGTTGCGAAATTGACTCAAACACCAGTCACACAAGATTATGATCAAAAACCTTCACATTCACAAAAAGTTGGTGAATGCTGTCTCATATCAAGCCAACAGCAATGGAACAAAAACGAAGTAGCCAACCAAAATAAAACTAAACAGAAGTAACATTTGTGCTCGGTCATCCGTGTGACTTCAGTCCTTCCATAACATTCAAACAATTTGGCCCAAACTATTTGTCCACTAGGTGTTCAGGGGCATACAGTATTTTTCGCCAGTTTTGGTGAGACTCCCAAAATTGTACACAATTTGGGGTGTAGATATGTCAAAAAGTACCACTATAGTTGACTGTTGTCTCCTCTTCTGTGCTTTGAAAATTACATGCCCACGAGAGTTACATGATTCCAGTAGTTTTCAAGGTCAGGAACTTGATTACGGGTCGTCATGTCAAGTCATTTTATGCTTCATGTTGGGAGCCAAAATTTGAGATGCAAGTGAGCTTTAGACAAACCACCGCTCATTTTGTATAAATGTCTCCTTGTTACAAAACAAAATGATTATTTGTACTTGAATATGATACCGTTCCACTAGATTACCCTCAATTCCTAGTTAATTCACTTAATTGCCATGGAAAGGGTCCAATTTAGAATATATCCTAATTTCCGGAGATTTGGCGCAACTTTCCTACCCCTCTGCAGCCCTCATTTCTACTGCTTGAATGTGGTGGGGAAAAGTGAGCAGATGTCCTCTCAATGTTCCCATCGGGGCCATGCGAAGGATGTTCAAACTTCGTTGGTGTCATATTCACAACTCCTGTGCCCTGGCCCCAAAATAACCAGCAAACTTTGTTTGGCAACTTGTTAGCCTTAGGCGCCACTGTATGTCTTTGCGTTAAACACCGGAAAATATAGATGGGAATATGCAGAGATGGGACTCTTTAAATAAATATACAGTACAGTACTACCAGAGGGAAAGAATAGTCAGTCTGTGAGAAGAGGTAGTTGTTGTACCAAAGGAGGAAAATTAACACAAAACCAGTAGTTACTTCAACACACCCAAGTCAATTACTAGCCATTCACATCACTCACCACACAAGTCAACCTTGGCCGTTGCGTCATTTGAGGATGAGTGTGGACACTGAGACAGAGTGGAAAATTAGGAGACACAGAAAATAGTTTCCTGGAATTCTCTGTGAGAGCAATAATCACTTTACTGGAAACCTACTACGGCTCCAGCTTGTCCACGATGCTAATTCTGCACTCTGCAGTCCAAATACCTCTCATTGTGTGTTCCAGAATAAAAACCTTGACCTGGGATTAAGTGTGTTGAGTCTGATGAGTTGAGGACCCGGAGGGCGAAACACAATCCCAAAGTCCAGCAGCCAAGGCCGTCTGTGTGCCATCTCAAAAATGATAAGAGCCTCGATTGTAGTAGGAAGGTTTATGGGTTAGGAAGGACATGACAGGAAATCAAGAGACAGGGAGTGCAAATGGATGCCAGTGGTGCCTTGAGTTTACGAGTTTAATTAGTTCGGTGACCACACTCCTAACTAAACACCCATATCTCAAATGATGTTTTCCAATTGAAATGCAACTATCCATTGCAGCCTGGGTTGTGTGACCCAGTCTGTTCGCCACGCAAAGCAAGGAAGGCGGCGGTGCGGCGTCCCAGATTGACACGACAATGAGGTCAACCTGGATAAGATGTGCGTGGCTGGAAGCAGCTGATTGGTTGACAAAAGGAGTTGACAAAAAAGGCGTAAACCAAAACCTAACGAGCAAGACCGGACAACATGAAACAAAAGCAATCTAAACAACAAAAACACACATCATGGCAAATCTTCTCTTAGCTCCCTGTGCTCTTTCTTTAGGAGTAAAACCCACAAAAAGCCAATGAAAAAGAAAAACACATTTTAATCATGTTTTGTGTTGTGCTCAAATTCGGCAATGAAAGGTTTTTGTGCAAACATAAAGGCTGAAAACTGAAGTCAGAGAATTTTGTTTAACGGAACAGGTTCCGCCATGCTCGCGCAACAATTTTAGAATTTTTATTTTACTGTGTTGTTACTTCAATACTCTATATACATGTTCAAAATCAGATTTGTTACTCATACTGTACTTATTGTGACAATAAGAATGCGCTACCAAGTTAAACGGATAAATATTTATGAAGAGTGATCATAAACATTGAACCACTGTCTGCTTTATCTTCAACGTTGACGGTCACGGATTGTAAGAGTCAAAATAAACCGTGTGTTTTCATTCCAAACAATTTGGCTGACAGACATGAGTTATAGTTTAGAAATGTGATAAAATTCTCCGCAGTCGATCAAGGGAGTTAGTCATCCCACCAAGAAAGATTTCCTGTTGAGCAAATGCGCGCCTGAGCCATCTTCAAACGTTTGAAGAGCAGTTGGAGAGCAAAAGCAGACATTTCCACCCTCATCTCCAACTTCCTTTATGCGTCTCTCAGCTCCCATTTGACTTCATCTTGGATTTGTGGCGTTTACTCATTTTTATGGCAGGTCTTGACCCAACATCGACACCCCCGCCCCCACCAGCACCACCACCGAGCACTACCAGCATGCCTGGGAAGGAGGCTGCTCTTCGGCAAACGGATCAGGAATGCACTGGGGAGGTCAGCGGGAAACACAGCGCCTCATTGTTCTTCTACCTTTACATTCCAGTCTCTGTTTTAAAATCACAGCCCTCCTCTAAATACAAACCCTCGGTCGCTTTTGTAAAGTTCTCTCATTCCTACACGCCTCCTCCTCGCTCCTCGTCCCACCTGGCACTTTTCCCCGTAGCTAAGACTGATGCACTGACAGAAAATTTCAGCACTTTAATGCCATCGGGAGGGGAAACTAAGTGCAAATATATTACAGGTATGCAGGATTTATGACCGTAATTGTGTGTGCATTTGGTTGTGTACGCATACCTGCGTGTGTGATTGTGTGTGTGTGTGTGTGTGTGTGTGTGTGTGTGTGTGTGTGTGTGTGTGTGTGTGTGTGTGTGTGTGTGTGTGTGTGTGTGTGCGTGCGCGTGTTTACAGCGCCGAGTTCTAAGAAAAGGAGCAATTTGGACTGATGAGGAAGTCATGACGTGTTCAGTCATTTAAAAATGCCTGCCGGTGCATGCAGTCACTCAACACACCCCGAAACTGCGGCCTACGACATGAATGAAAATGAATCGCCTTTCCACTGCACGCTGAAAAATACAAAGCTCAGTTTTTACAGGACGAAACTGGCAGCTGTGGTTGCTCGAATTTTACTGCTATATGAGGGGCAACAGTTATCAGTGCAGTGGTACCTGGACTTACATATTGCATTTGTAGGGGCACCAGAATCAATTTTCCCCATTGAATTTAAATGAAATTCCACAAATCCATTCCAGTCCCTAAAAAGCACCACCGATGTAAATAAAGTGGTAGACAGTAAACCCCTCTAAATTGCAGGTTCCGGGTTCGTGGTCCTGCTATTACTCATATTTAGTTTTAGTCTTCTTGTAATTCAAATGTCATTTAGTTGGGGTATAATTCTACGTCACTAGTTGGAGGCCCGTGATCATGTCGAATGCTGTAAATTTGAAAGAAGAAGGGAAAACAGCAAGTGTTTCAACATCAGCCTCATTTTTTGCTGAATAGATCAGAAAGATGGTCAAATGGCTCACTCCTCTATCATCCTACTTTTTAAGGCTACATAAATGAATGGCTGTAAGTTCATTTTATACAGTTACAGCTCTGTGCATGATCATTGACATACATTGTGAGACAAATGTTTGTCAGTTTGGAAAAATGGAATTTGATGAACGTAAACAAGGATCAATTCACTGGTGCGTTGTTTATTCCGCGTTTGGTTTTGAACCCATTTGTGAAAGACTTTCAGTTTGAGGAATTTTGCAATCATTTCCGCAGGTTTTAGTTGGACAAAATCAGTTCAGGGGAGAAAGAAAATGGAAGTGAACTCTTCCGGAGATTTGTACTTTTACCTGAAAACCTAAAACAGAGTACAAGAAGGTGGACTTGTCAAAGTACTTTCCAAGATTTGAGCTTTTTCGAATGACCGTGGAGGATCGAAGGCACGCACATGCTCAATGTCTAGGTTGTGCTTCCAGGTCAGGGATAATGTTGGAACATGTAGCATTCCTTCCATTGCGGAGGAGCCACATTAGCCAAGGGGGGAATTCCACCGAGCGATGATAATAACGCCCATGACAAACGCACAGCAAATGACAGTTTAGCAACCCAAACAAACAGTCAAGCCAAATGGTCAGTGCCAAGAGACACGTGCATGAGAAGGACAGTATCCGGAGAGTGCTTACCTTGACACGCGTCTTGGACTTTTTCATGGCCCGCTTTGCACTGGCACTGGCCCACCGGCACCACCCATTCTCCATCCACGGTACAGTACACGCGAGGCAGCTCCTCGCTGACGGCGTTATCCACGCATATCCCGTTGACCTCCCTCAGAGCTTGGTTCTCGCCGCCCGCCACCGTTTCGGGGAAGGACGCCAGGCTCATCACTGTGGCGGGGCATGTTTTGTAATAAACCCTGACCGACAGAAGCGCCACACAGGCGCCGATGTCTTGAAAAGCCAAGTAGAAGCCTTTCCGAGAGAGGTTCTCCACCACCCGAGTCTCCGTGTTGATCCGCAGCTCGTTCTTGCTGGTGATCTCGTCGGGAGCGATGGTGGCCACTTTCTTGAACTGACCCTTGCGGAAGGTGGTGCCCACGTCCACGTCGGACTCGGAAGTGAAGAGGTTGAAGGTTTCCTTACAGGTCATGGACGCGCCGTCGAAGGAGTTGCAGTCGCGTACGATGAACTGGAGCTCCACGAAGACGCGCGAGGCTGACGGACGCCGCTGGATAAAAGTGGTGCGCAGCCAGTTGTCTTGCTCGCGTTCGCCAACGTTACAAACAGAATAGGTGTAAAACTGAGAGCCGTTCAGGGTCCGTTGGACGACCTCCCACTGTAAAACAACACGAAGACTTTAGACACAAATCCTGGACCATGAAATGCACACGTTCGTGTGTGTTTTTAATCAACAATCTTGTATTCAAGGGGACAAGCAAAGGAAAATTGACTTTGTAACGTCTGGTACACAAATAGCCGGGTCTCTGGAAGAACCGGAGCCACTTTCAAGCTATAGACGTAGTCTCAAACATTATCACGCAGGAGGGACCCACATGCTCTGACAGGTGCCGTACTCCCGCTTGCCAGGAGGTAAGCAGAGCTGCGTTGAGTTTTGTTGGACGCACAGTAGATCTGATTGGCCTGACAGGATCGGCACGTTATCTTGCATTTTATGCAAAATCAGTGATCGGTTGCAATGTCAAAATCATGTCACAGACGTGTTACAAAGAGACCCGGGGATGGTTTTAAATGCTGAAAAATGCATAATGTCGCCTTTTGGCAGAGTGCTGCTGCCTGGATGTGTTTCCATTGCAAAGGTCAACTTTGTTTCCACAGTTGCTGTCATGTCAGCACCTCAATCATAATTGCACCCATCTCTATTACAAACACTAAATTTGAGGTTCGGATTCAATTCCTACTTTAATGTAGTCTGGCTGAAAGCATACCACATACAATGGTTCAATCACTGCAGTCTAAACCTGGATTTCATTTCCTTCACAGCAGTAATTAAAGTCACGGCAACACGGAAAAGTGAATATAGCGTTCATTCATTTTTTTCCTAACACGAATCCTGTGCTGAACCAACACAGCGTGAGAAAGCACCGCGCGCTCCCACATTATTTCCAGTCAGTTTTCCGACGCTGCTTATACTGTACACTAAATGTTGCCACAAATATTTCTGGAAAAGCCACAACATGTTTGAACACAGTCTTGGCTCGAGGAACAACTAGCCCCACGGGGCCTTTTTAAGGCAGGCCTGGGTATGCACTTTTTGTACACGTAAAGTACTGTAGCTGTAGAAAATGTGCGTGACCACCCCTGGTATACCACCTGAAATAAAAGTAGCATCTGAAGCAAAGGAGATGAGCAGCAGGACCATACGTTTGAGTCATCAGCACATAAAACGAGCCGATTTACAAGGAATTAGACGGCCCAATTACTGCGAAACCGCATTGTGGACAAGGACAAACATGCCTGTTGTCTAATCACAGCATTTGTGCGGAACAATAAAGTCATTTTCATTTGTCTTCAAGACACTTTTGTCGCGGTATCTGTGAACATTAAAAAGCCCCCACCTCTCTAAAAAGGAGGCAGACCAAAAAGTTAATTGCTTGCTAACATATAATTGTGCAGCCTGAACCTCCAAACCGCAAGAAGCCACAAGTATTCCCAGATCAGGGCAAGCTGCTATTCTGTCTGCCTCCGCTTTGGCGGAGCCCAGACGTGCTCGGCAGGCAACTTCAACCCCTTCCTTGTCATACGCGAAGCCAACAAGTGGCACATTTGACACAAACGGCCGAGACCTTTCACAAGCACACCACACAAGTCAAATGGTCAAATATTTCACACAAACCGAGGCTTGGCCCTTCCTGTGCAAAGTCTCAGTGCGGGCAAATTCCAAGGGTGTAAAACGTGTGTGTGCGAGAACGATACTCACCCCGGGCTTGTCTCCCTGCTCGAAAGGCCAAGTCAACCAGCCCAGCTCACCTCCTGTGGCCTTCATGTCCAAAAGCACCTCTGTGTGTGGAGACATCAACGCAATGACATCATGAGTCGTTAAGGTGGACATATCGACAAGTGTCAAAGTCTTCTTCGGTGCGGGCCACATCGCAGTTATTGTTTCCTTCAGGAGGGTTTTTCTGATTGTGAAACTCATAATTTTAATTCAGAAGTCATGGGAAATAATTGAGAAACCTAAATATGAATACTTTTGTTCAACTTATATTAAGAAGGAAAACACTGGTTGTAATGGCAATAAAAAGAAAATAACATTGGTAATTTGAGGACAGGATTTACACTTTTGCCAAAATGAAAAGAAGAAATGAATTGAGCAAGTAACGTGAAGTAAATTAGATTCACTTGATTTGCTTTAGTGGGTCACAGAATGATGTGACAGGTCAGATGTGATATCTGTCCATCTATTAATCTGTTTAATTATTCAGTCCTTCCACTGTTAAAGTTTTTTAAAAGTTATAAGTCATGTCAATAGCGATACGGTACAAAACGAAGAGCGTATGTAAAAAAAAAAAAGACGCGTGAAGTACAGATTTCAAGTATTCGAGGGACGCTACAGAGCACGAAACTGCGTGCTGCTGAACCTTTTAAAGTTTCTTCAACTGACTCCGCGTGGAGCGCGCCATCGACACCAGGCAAGTTTGAACTTTGAAAGAGGACGTGACACTCACCTTCTTTGCTTTGCAGGGTGACAAGGATGCCGTTAATGAGCACATAGGTGAATATTGAGAACGGTCGGACCCCTGTGAAAAATTCCATTTGCTCCACTTGCTTCCTCTCTCGCACGCTCGTTCGTTGTACGCTCTCCCGGCTGTGACTGACCGACTCCGGAGCGCCGCTCTGCATACACACGCAGGCACGCGCGCACACTCATTCACAAAGCAGAAACGCCTGCTCGCTGGAATGTGCGCGTGTGTACGTGCGCGTGTGCGTGGGAGGAAGAGGAGGGGAGGAGAACCAGGAGGAGGAGTAGGAGAAGAAGCAAGACTCCTTCTGAGAAACCTTTGCTGCTGCTGCATTCGCGAACCGTCGGAAATTCTAAGTATCGTAAAGAAGTGGATTAACAATTCACTTTATCAAAAACTACTTCGACCAGAAGTGGGCTAAACTTTTGTGCTGAAGGGTAAAAAGTTTGGTTTTCAAAACCCAATAGATGGACCGGGTCAGTTGTCGATGTTTATGTCAAACTTTGTTTTAATGGCAATTCATTCTTTTAAAATATTATGTTCAATGATAATTTCAATGAGTGTATACATCATGAATTAAACACCCACCCTCTTTTTTTTGTGTGTGTATTTCCAAACAATCATCATCCATCCATTTTCAATATAACTTCTCTTCAATAGGGGCAGCGGGGTCAGTGTATGCCGAACCCAGCTTATATAAAATATAAAAGAGTGGAGTGGATAACTGGTTAGCACGTCTGCTTCACAGTTCAAAGGTCATGGGTTTGAAAACGGGCTTCTGCCTTTCAGTGTGCTCTGTCTTCTTCCCGCTATCTAAAATCATGCATCTTTAGGTTCATTGAAAACATTCAATTCAATATGTGTGCTGCGATTGGCTGGTGACCAGTCTAGTGTGTAATCCTGCCTCTCGTCAGCTGGTATCAACCTTATTTATTGGCCAGCACATAGGTGAATATTGAGAACGGTCGGACCCCTGTGAAAAATTCCATTTGCTCCACTTGCTTCCTCTCTCGCACGCTCGTTCGTTGTACGCTCTCCCGGCTGTGACTGACCGACTCCGGAGCGCCGCTCTGCATACACACGCACACGCACACACACGCAGGCACGCGCGCACACTCATTCACAAAGCAGAAACGCCTGCTCGCTGGAATGTGCGCGTGTGTACGTGCGCGTGTGCGTGGGAGGAAGAGGAGGGGAGGAGAACCAGGAGGAGGAGTAGGAGAAGAAGCAAGACTCCTTCTGAGAAACCTTTGCTGCTGCTGCATTCGCGAACCGTCGGAAATTCTAAGTATCGTAAAGAAGTGGATTAACAATTCACTTTATCAAAAACTACTTCGACCAGAAGTGGGCTAAACTTTTGTGCTGAAGGGTAAAAAGTTTGGTTTTCAAAACCCAATAGATGGACCGGGTCAGTTGTCGATGTTTATGTCAAACTTTGTTTTAATGGCAATTCATTCTTTTAAAATATTATGTTCAATGATAATTTCAATGAGTGTATACATCATGAATTAAACACCCACCCTCTTTTTTTTGTGTGTGTATTTCCAAACAATCATCATCCATCCATTTTCAATATAACTTCTCTTCAATAGGGGCAGCGGGGTCAGTGTATGCCGAACCCAGCTTATATAAAATATAAAAGAGTGGAGTGGATAACTGGTTAGCACGTCTGCTTCACAGTTCAAAGGTCATGGGTTTGAAAACGGGCTTCTGCCTTTCAGTGTGCTCTGTCTTCTTCCCGCTATCTAAAATCATGCATCTTTAGGTTCATTGAAAACATTCAATTCAATATGTGTGCTGCGATTGGCTGGTGACCAGTCTAGTGTGTAATCCTGCCTCTCGTCAGCTGGTATCAACCTTATTTATTGGCCCCAGAAGCCTTTGCGTGAATTATGGGTGCAACCTCTATTGTGAAATGGAACCAGCGTTTTGTTTACATGGTAACTGGTTGCACGAGTCCACTTTCTATGTCAGTTACAGACTTAAAGAATGTAGGAACACAAGTTGTTGCACCTTATAAGAGAAAAACATTTCAAGATTACGAATGTAGCACATTAGGAGGATGGCATAAAAAATTCCCAGTGACAACTTTCAGTTGCATGTTTAGCTCCTTTCTGAACTCTGTCGATGAGGCAATGAGCGATCTCAAAAAGTTCTGAGGCCTATCAGTACTTGCATAGTAATAAAATTGGTCGAGTTTTATCAGAGGAGGTTGGACACAGTCATACTTATCTAAAAGCAGACAAAGGACCCAGACAAAACCAATACTTCCCACCACATAGTAACCTCTTGACCAGGACAGTCTAACGCTGAATGCAAAAAAGCTCAACGGCGCTTAATGTCAGAAAACATAATCGATCATCATCAAAATTCATGTGCACATCTCTACTTATATTCAAATGATCGCCCTTGCATTTGGGATTTTCTGAGCGTTACGTTTTTCCTCTCCGTAGAAAAATGTTCCCGTCACTTGAGGTAACATCACCAAAATGTATGTGCACATCTCTACTTATGTCAACTTCAACTGCTGGAAATACTAGAACGATCACCCAATATTTTTCATTTTATGAACATGTCTTCCTCCCTACGAGCGTCGAATACAGTTTAATGTTGCTTGATAAACACTTACCTTCTATAAAATCTAAAATATTGAGGCAATCATTCTAATCATTTCTCATTTCAAAGCCTGGATTCCAACTCCCAGCCTGAGAATGGTGAGATGGATGTGCTATATATACCCTGTTTGTATCTTAAGCTGCATAGACGCCGGTGTCACATACACACACAAAATTTAAAAAAAAATAAATAAATAAATAAAAAACTTTTAACAATGTCTACACAGATAATTAATTTTTCCCGATTTACATGTATTTACATTATTTCCAACAGAGGTCGATTAGCGTCCTATTATAGATCGTGTTCAACATTAGAGATTCCGCTGAGTAGACAGTATTTTACAAAAGCGAGTACACCTCTCACATTGTTGTAAATATCTTACATTTCCATGAGACAGCACTGAAAAAATTACACTTTGCTACAATGTAAAGTAGTCATATGGAGCAACAGCTTGTATTACAGTGAACATTTACTGTCCCCTCAACATAAAAATAACTCGACACACTGCTATTAAAGTCTAAACTGCTAGCAACAAAAATGATTATACCCCCAAGTGAAACTGAACACAATTGTCCAGTTTCCCGCATTGGTTTCATGTGACTCGTTCGTGTGACAAGACCAAGGTGTGAATCAAGAGCAAGGTGTGTTAAATTGGGCTCTCAAACTCTCCCTTATGGGTCACTGGAGGTTCCATATGACACTCATGCCAAAGAACTGAGCATCTGAATAAAAGAATTGTAAGGCAAAATGGATTACACACAACATGACAAATGGGCCAAATGGAATATTTTCCCTCCCTTGCGACCAAAGGATGAAAATTTTGCTTGTCTGATGTCTCAGATAGATTATCCTCAGCGATTATCGTGTAGCGTTGGGTTTTTTTTCTTCCCTGTTCTGTAGCCTCACATGTCATACACCACAGTAGAAATGACATGTAGAAGATGAGGAAAGGTATGTTTGCCTGGATATCTTCGACTACGACTATAACTACTACTACTACTACTACTACTACTACTCCTAGGACTATTACTGTATTTTCCGGCAGTCTGGATGCCCTGTGTCATTTTGCTGCCTCTACAGTTCATTCATGGTATTACAATAGACATTTGCTGCCTCTACAGGGCAGTCTTGGTGTTACAACAGACAGACAATCAGTTAAAAGGTTAAAAACTGTGACGCATTTAACTTGTGTATGAAATCACCAAGAAGGCCCTGAATGACAAATGGTATTGGAATGAAAAACACAGCATTCCAAAGATACCTAGTACTGTATATTATGACTCAGTTGCCCACCCTTCCTTCCTGCCACTGAAGTGGGGAACATAGCCAACAACATGGCAAGGTTGTTCACATCCAGCAACAATTTTTGGTGAAATATCTTATCTGAGCGTAAACAGAGGTTATCAACGCTTGATTGAGCTGATGCTATCAATATTGTGCTTAGCTGTAGAAGTGGTCAAAGTGGATTGTTTGGGGTAAAAACAGTTTTGTTTTTGTTTTTTGAATTATCAGATGTGAGGGATAATTCTTGTTCCTTGCAGCCACTGAAAGTGATTTTCCACTCCCACTCAAAAACCTGCCTGTGCTTGTTGGCCTAAATCACTGAAATGGGACTGCAAAGAATGTATGAGGATACATTCTTTGCAGTGAGATATAGTGACATGCAGAACCATCAAATACTCTCCCACTACATGTCAGAAGGTACAGTTAACCTGTATAATGAACGGTTGCCATTCATCCAACAGAACTGTCTCAATACGCTTTGTAGTCAAACAGATGATAGCAATTTGTGACTAAATTCAGACAAGATCATCATGGTTTCAGTTATAATACTTTTTGTGATATTTTCATTTGGAGGCGTGTCGGGAAATTTTGTAAAATGTGTGCCTTGGCGAAATAAAGGTGGAGAAACATGGTTAGGATACACCAGCGGCATGATCTTCACAATATAGACACCGCCATGCATGCATTGCAGGGGGCGTTATGGCTCACTGATAGAGTGGTCTTCTCCCGACCCCAGGTTTGATCCCCTGACCTTGTGACCATGCGTCAGTGTCCTTGAGCAAGATACTGAAACATTTGCTCCCAATGCTGTGTCGTCTTGAGGCGCTTTGAGTGCCTTGGAGGTGGAAAAGTGCTGTACAAGTGAAAGATGAGGAAAACCCTACGAAAACAGCTGAACTTTAATTGGGGTTAGCCAGAGGCCCTGGTGACAGGTGTGTGTGTGTGTGTGTGTGTGTGTGTGTGTGTGTGTGTGTGTGTGTGTGTGTGTGTGTGTGCGCGCTGCATCCTGTTTAACATGAGTTTGAATGTGAATGGTTAATTCTGAACACAGCCAGAGGCCGGTTATAAGGTCTGCACACTTTTACAACCACATTATTTGAGTTGTCTGTATCTTACCCCCACTCTGATAAAATAAAGTATTTTACCTGATTTGTACTGTTTTTTGGCCACATTATTGGTGAGAAAAGTACAGAAATGATTTGTCTTGCTCTCATTTCTTTTTACATCACAAAGACTTAACATTTGAACAGGGTGTGTTGACTT